GCTAAAAGAAATAAATGAAAGAAGAAGGTTTTTCCCAGTGTGAGAAACACCGGCTTTAAAAAGGACAAAATCGCCAAAGCAAAGGTATAAAAATTTATTATACAAAACAGCGCTGAATCGGGTGCATCTCAAAGCAGAGGCACACCAACCCTTTAGCTTTTTGATATTTTATACCCTTATCCCGGCCGCCTGAGTTACTGTCTCTGTTCTCATTGGCTGAGAAGTTGGAGCTCACATTCTTCCCGACCGCCTCACCTATTACAGATCTAGTTTACACCTTTTTACCTTACAAGGCATACCTCTTACTCTACAAAATCGTTATTCTAAACACACCTTTGATTAGTTGATTAGCTACACGTTATTTCACAGTCTTTGCTATCATCTACTGTCCAGTGTTAGTAGTTACAAGCACCCTGGTGGTTGTGTTCTCATCTTCATCAGCCACCCTCTAGATGACCTTCATCCACTTGTCAGTCTTCACAGTCCTTTGTCAGGATCAGTCTGCCATTGGTCTTTAGTCAGTCTTTACAGTCCTTTGTCCACTTATCATTCTGCCATCGGCCCTGCTCTCTTCACCTAGATGACTTCCCGTAGACCAGGAGCCCTGGACAGCCCCAGGGCGCTTCTAAGGATTAGTTCGGTACAATGGGTGAGGGTCCACCATCACCGGGTTTCCTCTGTCAATACAGACATACTATCAAAATATATTAATTGGCTGAAGCAAAACTCAGCCCATTTCTCACATCAGTGAGGTTATGCAGTCTCCAGTGAGGTGTTCAAGGCTGAACTGAGTGTGACTTTGGGCAATTTGATCTAAAGGGAGCTGTTCCAAGCAGCAGGATGATCTAGAGGACCTATGGAGGTCCTTTCTCACCCACATCCTGACTCTCTGACACCCACCAACCCTTTCTCGGTTCTCCCTGACTCCTGGCCATCTACGGGGGCGCAGGGCTGGCGGGGCTGGCCGCGCTGCTCCTGGGTGCGTGGGGCTGGCGGCGGTGGATGGGGGCCGGGGCTGTGCCCGGGCTCTTCCCCGGGGAGCCCAGCGCCAAGTCTTTCCCCTCCTTCCTCAAGGGGTCTTTCCCCCTCCTACTTCTCTGCCATCTCTCGTCCCCCTGCCAAACCCTGTCCCTGTTCTCCCTATTTCTTCACCACCTCTGTTGATGGGAGTCTGCTTGCGTGTACACCTGATTTTTCATGCACCTTTTCCTTCCCCTCCCCTGTGCATTCCACAGTTCTTAATGCGCTCAATATAAGCCTCTGTGCTTCACTGTAACAACCCCTCTCCCTGTCCATTCTTTCTTTCTTCATCCACCTACCCAACCACCACTCACCCACCCATCTTCTGACCTATCTTTCTATGCACCTACCACCTCTAACCTCTCTTCCTACCATGGGATGCTTCTCTCTTCTCACCCCCTGCTTCTTTCATGTCTGTAGGCACAAGTTTGCTTTCCTGCACTGTGCCAATATTCTGTATATCTACTCATCTCCCTGTGCAATCACCATTTATTCTTCTTCTGAATTCAGCCCTCCATCCTTCCCTGTAACACACTCAACTCTCCTGTCCCTTCTGCCTCTCATTATTCATCCATCTATCCCTGCACCTGACTCTCATTCTATCTCTCCATCTTCGAGTTCCCTCCCAGATGTCTCCCCTCGCTCCATACACTCACAGCACAAACAGTCTCCATCCTTGTTCAGGAGCAGCCTGCTCCCATTTCTTCAGGTCTAGCCTGGTCTTCAGGTCTGTCTCACTGACACTCTAACAATTTATTGGGGAAAAGAGCTGGGTGATCTTTGGACTTTTCTTTCTCCTTCCTCGGCAGTGGCTGTGGGCAGAGCCCAGGTGCAGCAGGAGCCGTCAGCAGAGACCACCGAGGGCACCGCCATCAGAATCAACTGTTCACACCCCAATATAAAGACCACGGAGATCATCTACTGGTACCGTCAGCTCCCGGGCCGAGGCCCTGCGCTGCTCGTGGTGGCTCACAAAGACTTCAAAGAGCTACCGGACCCGCCGGGTTGGCTGCGGGTGGCGGCAGACGGCCGGTCCAGCGCCCTGCGGCTCGACCGGCCCCGGCGCGGGGACGCGGCGGTGTATTACTGCGCCCTGGGAGACACGGGGAGAGGAGCCGGGGCTGCGGCCGGGCAGGAACCGCGGCGGGCGGGGCCGGGCGTGTGTGTCGGGGCCGGGGGGACAGCCCCGCGCGGGCCCGGCAGGGGGCGCTGCCGCTCCGCCCGCCGGGACCGCCTCGCTCCGCCCGGCCCCCCCGGGGGCGCTTCCCCTGAACCACCGTCACTGGATCTGACACCGTTACCCTCGAGGGATGTCGAGCTCAGGGGCCCCCGAACCACCGGCACCGGGATCCTCGAGATCGCAAAGGCCCGCGCCCCGAAGCCCCGATGGGTTTCCCCGACGCGGGGAAGAGTTTTGCTCCTCCCTTTGGGCTTTGGTTTGGAGGCCTCTTTGATTTGGCAGAGGCAGAACAGCTGAAGGTGCAAGCATCAGGTCCTTCATGCTGGCAGGACCCTGGGCACCCCATGAAGGGAGAGCGTGACATGGTCCTGATTTTCCTGGCAGCCCTGGTGGAACTGGCAGGCTTTGGTGAGATGTGACTTTCAGGCTGGGGAATATGAGGGAAGAGTTTGCTCAGCTGCTGGTGGAGTGGGAAGATGTGAGTCCTGACTCCCTGGGGGAACCGGGAGTATTTCTGTAGAGAGATCAGGGGCTGCAGATGGGTACGACAAATAATGTGGGAGATGTCAGGAGTAATGTGTATAAGAGGAGGAGTAAGACATCACACTAAATTTGCAGGTAATGAGAATTCTGGAGGGTGCTGCTAGTACACATTAAGCCTGAGAAGAAGAAAAGATGGCAGGGAGCTGAGCGATGCAGCACACAGCAGCTTCTCTGCTGGATGTATTAGATACAATGCTACCAGTCTCTGTAGGGGTAGACGTAAACCAGGAGCTGCAGAAAGTGTGCAGGAACAAACAGCTCAGTATTTCTGATGCAGGGAAAAGCGAGATGGAAAGTGGGGACAGCGAGGAAGCTGATGAAGTGACAGACAGACAGGTCCACAGGCAAGCAAAGCTGAAAGCCCTTTCTGGCTTTACAGGTCATCGCTGCTCGTGGTGGCTCACAAAGACTTCAAAGAGCTACCGGCCCCGCCGGGGCAGCTGCGGGTGGCGGCAGACCGCCGGTCCAGCTCTTCCTTCCACCTTCTGGTACCAACAGCACCAGACCCAGTCCCCTCAGATGCTGTTACAGGTGGACAAATGGAAACCTCAGGTGGATTCAAACCTAGGGAGGTTCTTCTCTGCAATGTCTGTGGAGACCTCCCAGGTGCTTCTGCATGTGCAGGACGCCGAGCTCCAGGACAGCGGAGCCTATTTCTGTGCACTGAGCCCACACTGGTGCCCACAGCTGGCAGCAGTGCACAGAAAGGTGGGGGTGCTCTGAGGAGCGGTTCCCTCCCTGCCACTGCTTGCATGGAGCTCAGAGCTCAGCCTGCCCAGCAGGGGCACCTGGGGCTGTGGTGAGGCTGGGCCTCTGCCTCCCCAGCCTGTGCTGCTGTGAAGCACATGCCAAGTGTGACTTTTACAGCTGTGTCCAGACCCAGGGTCTTTGATGACAAACAGAGTCCAATAACCCTGACTTGGGGCAGTTCCGTTGGAGGCTACACCATACAGAAGCCAAACCAGGCTTGTAAATGCCCTCTGCTTAAAATAGCTGGTACCCCAGTGTGAGAAGTCAGGGTAAGTAACCCATCAGCTTGTCTTCTTCCCTTTGACTTTTGTCTCCACTGATGACCACAGCTCTCTACACTGTCCAGGACTACAACACAGAGTTGGACTTGACAGAGGCAAGACGCAGAAGACCTGCAAGCCCTGTGTCCAAGGCTTCAGTGTTGTTCAGCAGAGAGTAATCTGTGCTGGTGTGAGGGGAGATGCAGCTGATGAGAGTTATGTGCCCAGCTTCAGCCCCTTCATCCACACAAAAGCTTGCTCCCTGACATCCCTCTGTACTCAAGTTCCTTGGACATGGAGATGGGGTTTAAACATGGGATGGGGATGCTTGGAAGGCCAAGTATAGGTGGACTTACTGCTAGATGAGGATGGAGTCCTGGTGACAAATGACATGAAAAAGGTTGACATACTCGAAGCCTATTGCTCCTCAGTTTTATTGGTATGGCTTCTCCTCTGGCCTACCACATCCCTGAGCCTCCCCACAGGCATGAGCACAGCCAAAGGAAAATGTACATGAGCACAATCATGCACACACCCCACTGAGAACATGGACTCCTGACACCAGAGCTCAGCCCCTCTAGAGAGCTCCAGGCAAGTCCTTCAGACCCTACAGGTGAGGAAGGAATCAGTCACTGGCCAGTCCCATCAGCTTTAGTGAGATCAAGGGTTTGGCAGTGGTTCAGTCAGCTGCTGCCTCACTGTAAGACAGAGAGTAATCACAGTGGAGTTGAAGCTGGCATGGCCTTCCCAGACACAGAGCCTCTCCACCTCTCAGGTCTGTCTGTGAAGGATAATATAAAAACTAGAGAACATCCCCATTGCTGCAGCCCCCCAAAGAATAACTGTATTAGAGGGAAAAGAAAATCCTGCAACACTGGAAATTCCCACCTGACCTTGTTGATGTCCTCAAGGGTCTGGAACTATCACCTGCCCTTGCAAAGGGAGTGGTGCCACAGTGACACACTCATGTGGCAGCAGAAGGGTGTGTGTCTGGGACAAGCCAGCCTCCCTTCAGGCTACAGACACTGAGGCTGGGACATCAGAAGGGATGGAGGAGTGAACCTGTCTCTAGACTTACTTGAAGTCTAGAGTGACTCTCTGTGTTTCTAGTCTTACTCTCTCTTCAAAGGCAGAGAAATGCAGGACAACATTAATTTACAGAGTTGCTGAACACATGGTCTGGCAGCCCTGGGAATACTCATGCATTCTTTGGTATTTTCCCCAGTTTTAAGGAACATGCTGACTTTTTTCTCCTCTTGTGTTTTCCAGGCAGCTGCCAGTGGTGTCTCTGCTCCTAACAGCTGAGATACTGGCTCCTACAGGTGGGGAGGACATATTCTCCTCAAGTTGCTGGACCTTCTGGGACAGTTTCTCCACAGCTGAGACGAGGGGAGAAGAGAGATTTTCTTTACATTGCCGGTTGGGCAGCCACCTCATCCACCATTGGTCCCTCTTCACCTTTCCGTTCCATCACTGCCAATGAGTTGGCATATGATGATGGGGCGCTCCGTACACCCTTCATCCACACAAAAGCTTGCTCCCTGACATCCCTCTGTACTCAAGTTCCTTGGACATGGAGATGGGGTTTAAACATGGGATGGGGATGCTTGGAAGGCCAAGTATAGGTGGACTTACTGCTAGATGAGGATGGAGTCCTGGTGACAAATGACATGAAAAAGGTTGACATACTCGAAGCCTATTGCTCCTCAGTTTTATTGGTATGGCTTCTCCTCTGGCCTACCACATCCCTGAGCCTCCCCACAGGCATGAGCACAGCCAAAGGAAAATGTACATGAGCACAATCATGCACACACCCCACTGAGAATCATTATCCTAGCACCGGAGCAGCCAGGTGACCATGTACTCCCCTGGAAGTCGGATGAAATCTTTTTGCATGTCCCGCAGCTCACTCAGGGACAGGGATTTCATGGTGGTCCACTTGCTTGGATGACATACAACATTTTCACTGAAGGGGTACCTTTCCCTCACACCCGACAGGAGTCACCTCCAGAGGCTGAGGGCTTGTGATTTTTTTCCCAATTGCCTTGTCAATGCCCCCCTCTTTAGACAGAGATCCCAGCTGCCTGGCTTCCCTACCCTCCAATTCCAAGCTACTGGCTTCATTATCCTAGCACCGGAGCAGCCAGGTGACCATGTACTCCCCTGGAAGTCGGATGAAATCTTTTTGCATGTCCCGCAGCTCACTCAGGGACAGGGATCGAGTGATTATCTCTGATTCTGCCTCTTCCTCTTGTTCTTGTGATGACCCTGGATCATTGTCATCCTTCACTGAGGGAAAAGATTTCTTGGTGTATCTCTTCTTCTGGATAGGGGCAACTGATACGGGCACAGGTTGGTTTTCTGGTTCAGCTGTAATGCCTGCCACAGGGGTTGGAGTAGCCACAGTGCCTGTCAGCATGGTTTCCATCTCTTTCTCCTAAGAATGCTGCGCAACATTGAGAAATGCTTGGCAGATACTGGCCAGGGCCCAGCACAATGCAGTTATCACCTGCCCTTGCAAAGGGAGTGGTGCCACAGTGACACACTCATGTGGCAGCAGAAGGGTGTGTGTCTGGGACACTTTCAAATATTCTATCACTTTAACAGGGTCCTGTAATTGTTCAGTGGTGAAATCCCAGACCATTGGAGGTGAAAAACTCTCTAGATACCTGCCCATGTTCTCCCACATGCCATGCCTTGGGGCAGATCTCTGGGTGGTAGTCTTAAATAGTTGCTTAACCCTAAACAAAAATGGAAACACATTCAGGAGACCTAGCAATAGGACCAAGCTGGTTTGCATGTCCCAAGGGTATTCAAAATTCTCGAAAACAGGCATACCCAGCACAAAAGAGAAAAGGGAGGTGAAAGAGCTGGGGAAAGTATCCCCACCTGCTTCCCCCATAGACTCAGTGTGTTTATTAATAATTCCCTGAGATATGGGCAGGAAAACAGTGCCGAAGAAACACCCCAACATAACCATCTTGATGCCGTGAAAGACAAAATCAGGACTCAGTTTTTCTTTACATTGCCGGTTGGGCAGCCACCTCATCCACCATTGGTCCCTCTTCACCTTTCCGTTCCATCACTGCCAATGAGTTGGCATATGATGATGGGGCGCTCCGTACAAACTTCCGCCACATGGACCTTGTGCATTGGATCTAAACAGGATCTGTGGGTAACTGTGCATTGTCCAGGTCATAATAAATCATCTCCTGCACGGCTAATTCTCTCAGGTACTGGATACCTCTTTTCATGGTGGTCCACTTGCTTGGATGACATACAACATTTTCACTGAAGGGGTACCTTTCCCTCACACCCGACAGGAGTCACCTCCAGAGGCTGAGGGCTTGTGATTTTTTTCCCAATTGCCTTGTCAATGCCCCCCTCTTTAGACAGAGATCCCAGCTGCCTGGCTTCCCTACCCTCCAATTCCAAGCTACTGGCTTCATTATCCTAGCACCGGAGCAGCCAGGTGACCATGTACTCCCCTGGAAGTCGGATGAAATCTTTTTGCATGTCCCGCAGCTCACTCAGGGACAGGGATCGAGTGATTATCTCT